GGGGGAGTCCAACTGGGTCCACTCGGCACGGCGCGGCGGCCACTGATTGACCTATGTAGTCTGCCCTGGGTGATTATGATGATGAAGAATTTGGTGGAATGAAGACTGGCAGAGGAAACCGAAGCACTCGGAGAAACCCCGCCCCAGCGCCACTTTGTCCACCACAAATGCCACTTGACTAGACCCGGAATTGAATCCGGGCCGCCGCGGTGGGAAGCCAGCGACTAACCGCTTGAGCTATGGCGCGGCCCGGTGTAGTAAGATATGTCCACGCATCTAATTAAAATTAACTGAGTGTACAAATATTATATTTTTGGACATTATACATCGTACCTTCAGACGGAGACAGAATCCAGTCTCCGAAATGTTGCGTTTTGAAAAATAAACAGGACGGTTTTTAGATAAAACAGGATGATGGATATGTCCAAAAACATATTTGTACCATCGTCACGAAATTTTAGATCTTAGAACTGAGTGTGTTGCCGAAGTCTGCTTCTCGACCTTGAATCATTCTACACAAAATAAAATGTTTAATTTCTTTCAACAAATTATCTTAAAAATGAAAAACAAAATAATTCTTGTTTACATGATTTCAGCCTTGGTATGTTTGCCGTGACGATATTGAGAAGGCACATTTGAAATGCTTGCATTTATCGATGACTTTGTTGCAGATCACCAGTTTTGAGTTGTTTATATGAAAGATCGTCAAAAGCTAATAGTGTAATGTAAATCTGGAGACTGTTGAATTTTTTCGCTGTGCTCACGTTTAATAATTTATTTTAATTAACAACTAAATATCCTGAACGAAAAAATATTAATTTATTTAATTTTGGGGATAGCTTTGGAAACCCAGTCAGCATAAATTGGGACGAATTGTTTTATTTAAAAAGTTTAAATTAAAAATTTCGTCCACCGTAGGTAGCTAAAATTTGTAATCACACGCAGTGGCAGGGAATAGCAAACAGGGAATATTTGTTTGGGATAGGAAAGGGTGTTTGTTTCGAAACGGAATACAGTGATAATTACTGCAGTGAAAGAGTGCGTTGATTGGGTATTGGAGTGGTTTTAATTTAACCTCCCTCTCGGATTAGGCTCAATGATAATACGCACTGCGAGAGGAATTATAAGAATATGGTACTGTCACGTGCTAGTGACTAGTTATTGGATTTACTGAAGGCTTGTATTTCGTAACTACAAATGATTATAACATTATCACTAATTACACGCTATATAGATCATTACAACTACAGCATATATAAAATCTTGTTTTTATTGCCTTCACTAGTCCTTTCTTAGTAGTGGCTGCTAACAACGGAGGTTCCTACGACCAATTACGAACTGCCACTCCTCACTAGCGGCTTGCGACTCACCGACTGCTAAACTGCTGCTGACCTTATCCAATGAAGTAATTCTCGGTTCCGAACCTGGCGGACCCATAATCATATTTCACTGGATCATTACTCTGCGAGCCATGCAGCCCACTAACTGTCTGATTGAATGTTAAGTTGCTGCTGGTCCTCGCCAGCACAGCCATTCGTAGTGCCGAGTCCCACGGGATTCAAATCAGCGACAATGGGGAAGGTCTTTCTCCCGAACGCAGGTTGGTTCATTAAAGACAAAGTCACAATCACGACGCCAGTCTGTTTTTGGTCGCTTAAATTGTTGCTGCTTTCGCCAGCACAGTCATTCCTGGCTTCAATGCCTAGCAATGGCTGCATAAAGAACACCTCGGCCTCTATTGTTACGTCAATATCTGTTTCCGCGGAAAAGTGTTTGCCGTCCCGCTGCCTAGCAATGACCGCCTCTTCTGGTTCCACTATTCCGGCTTTAAGCCGTCATGTCACAGTATTCTATCTGAAACTCTAAGCCAATCTAAATAATATTTAAGAATATAGTTCACACCTCAGGAGCCAGGGTGGCTCAGTCGGTATAGCAACTGGCTAGGGGCTTGAGGATTGAGGGGTAGGAGTTCGAATCCGTAAGGTCAAGAATTTTCTCCTCCACGCCGTCCAGACCGGCTCTGGAGTCCACCCAACCTCCTATACAATGGGTACCGGGGGATTTCCCGGGGATAAACCGGCCGGTGTGTGAAGCTGACAACTCACCTCCAACTAGTGCCGAGGTCAAGAAAATGCGGATCTATACATCCTCTCCTCCACATGGCTTCATGGTATAGTGCATAATTAGTTAAGCACAGGGACAACTTTACATTTACCTTATAGCTCACATCTCATAAATACGCATTTTATCTCGACCAGACTACACGGTGTCACTTCCAAGAATACAATATTCTCCATTGCTCTTTAACTTCCCGTCTATGAAGACCGAATAGTCACTAGATTTATTTAACACTGATTTGAATATCAATGTCACTGACTGCGTTAATTCTTGCTCCTACTTTTTCGGAATTATTGAACATTTTGTTCATGGCCGTACTTCGTACGAAACTGATGATATATATTGCTTCGCCAGTTGGTGCTGACAAGGCTAGATATTTCTGTCACGGAACCTTAATTAGACGCTACGCGAGTTTTCCACACCGGACACTGTAATTTAAAGCGACGCACGATTCAAACTGCCAAATACAACAACTAATAATAATAATAAAAAAAACTTAATGGAGAAGAATACGGTAGTTAAGTAGCTAGTCAAGAAATGTCCTAACTTTTATGTACCCAGAGTATTCTTCAACGCCTGGTTCATATCTTAATAGAAAATTACTAATTTTATTTATTTGTATTCAGTTAAATTCAGTCGTCTATTTACTTACGCGTTTGCTCTGCAGACCAAAGTCCAAATACAAAGCAAGTTCGAGCAAAGACAACAAGCAAAACACACACAAAAGGCAAAATTGTCCCTGTGCCTAACTAAATAAACACTACGCCATGAAGGTGTATGTATTTGTAAGCGGATGTATAGAACCATATTTTCTTGGCATCGGCACTAGTTGGAAGCTTCACGCCCCAGCCGTTTTACCTCCGGGTAAAGAACGCCCCGTATCCCTCTGATAGGTAGCTAGGTGAGCCCCACAGCCGATCTGCATGGCTTGGAGAATAGAAAATTCTTCACCCTACCGGGACTCGACCTCCGACCCCTCTGCCGTCCAGTCCGTAGTCAGTCGCTATACCGACTATGCTATTTCGGATCACAAGCAAAAAAGAACAAGTATACAAAAGACAAAACAAGGCAATGTGTACCATCTACACAATAACCATTCGAATTAGAGCAATCCAACCACAATGCGATACGAAGATTAATTTTGAATAATAATAGTGATAACAATAATAATAATAATTATAATAATAATAATAATAATAACAGTAATATGTTGGATTCGGAATTCTGACGGCGATGACTACGTAAATTACAGTCTTCTGGTTTGGAAATGCTTGTAGATCGGGGAGACCCGACGTTTCAGAGAAACATACCGCCTGCATCTCCAGAACTGAAGAAAAATCCAACTGCAGGAATCCAACAGAAGCATGCGGCAAGCTGATGTTGGCTTACCCTCCGACCGAGAAGATGGAGGAGACATGTTCCTCTGTAAATCGGGCTCTCTCTGAACTACAACCTAGAAAACCGTACTCTCCAACAGAAGTAACAGATCGCTTTATGCATTGAAGAAGTCCCTGAGTGTTCACAGTAAAGTGGACGTTCCACTGGCTTCAGACCGCAAATCTTGTCCCCTAAATTTCAGTTGTCTTGTTCAAGGTAGTTATCAGCAAGGGGACAGAGAGAAATACTAGGAATATTTAAATTAGAATTCGTTGTATTTTGATCTCAGCCTAAAATGTCATGTTGTGTGTTGCAGGTAACTTGATGGTGATTCTTGTGGTGACTTTCTCGCATCGTCTGCGTTCCATCACCAATTTCTTCCTAGCGAACCTCGCTGTTGCTGATTTCTGTGTGGGAATCTTCTGCGTGTACCAGAATATCTCGATATATCTCGTATCCAGGTAAGTAAGAGAAATGACCCCTCGTCCACAAGATTACTAATGTGACCAGTGGTAACTTTAAGTAGTAAACATTCCACCCACACTCTCCAAGGGTTACACTGAATTTGCCTTTAATGACCCTCCCTTTTTCATCATCATCATCATCATCATCATCATCATCATCAGTAATCTGTCAAGACGACAGGTCCACAGTCTCTTCCAAAACAAGTCCTCCACTTAATGAGATCTAGAGCTTTCTCCTTCAAATGACAGTATCCTCTTCTCTCCCCAAGGTCATCCAGCATCTTCTTACGTCTTCTTCCTCGTCTTCTTGTCACTTCTATCCGCCCATCTGTCTTTCCTTCGATAACTTCTTTTAGAAGGCAGTTTCTGCGTAAAACAATTCAATTTCAATTAGTCTATCAATCATGCCCTGTAGCACAGTTTCTTCCTTAGCCATTAACACAAGATCATCTGCATATTTCACAGTTTGAATAATTTGCCCTCGTAATTTGAAGTCTCCGAGCCCATCCTGAGCTTCCTTGGTAAGGCATTCGCTGTACAAGTTGAAAAGAATTGGTGATAAACAGCATCCTTGTCGAACTCCTCTTCCAATCCTCCCTTTATGCCAGATGATAAATGTGAGAACAGGAAAATGACAAACATATGCTAGGCAGAATATCCTGCGTCGAAACTGTACCTTCCAAATACAAGTCTACATAACAATGGAAACAACTCTCACACGCATTTAGGAATACAAAATTACTTTGCGTTCTGCTTTTATGCCGTCTACGTCCAACTTCGATTACTAGTCACGGATCGTTTTTCTCTATTGACACTACATGTTTCAGCCTAACCGGCCATCTTGTGATGATCACCGTAAAGCCTCTTTGTTTCTGTCACATGGTTGCCCTGGATTACATCTGGTTACATGGATTAACTACCTGTTTTAACTCTGGCGTCTTTCAGCCACATGTGTTTGTCTTATGGTTTTGTTTGTTTTCTTGGCTGTGGATGTCTTCAGTGTTCTTGCAGGTGCGGCAGTTTTTGTGTTGTGGTCCACTATCACAGTCGTCCGTTGTAGGAGTTCTGCCACAGCAAGAACACTCAAAAAGCCTCAGCAAACAAAACAAACAAAACCATAAGATAAACATGGGCAGCTCAAGGACATAAAAATAGAAACATGTGGTTAACCCACATAACAAGATGTAATCCGAGGCAACAAAGTAAGGATAGCACAGCGGCAGATTCCTCTATCACAACAACCTGTACACCTGATGATGGCCAATTAGGCCGAAATATGTTGCGCCAATTAAGAAAAAGCAAGTGAATAGTAAACAACGTTGCACATAGACGGCATATAGCAAAAAGCATCAGATGTACACAGTGCAACAGGATGCTGCAATGTAATAATGTACAACTACAAAAATACTGCTGGCTTGTTACTTTCTTCTTGTTGGATTCCTGCTTGGCGTACTCTTCGATTTTCACGATGAGATATGTTGCTCAGAAACGTTGGAGGACTTCTATCGGATTACACAGAACATAGCACTCTTCATAGTCACCGCTGTCAGAACCTCATATCCAACTGCATAAAGGCTCCCACACAGACGATATAGCACTCGGGACGAAAGCGGCTGTTTACCGAGTGGGCCGCGCACACAGCCGCGACACCCGATAACCAGCTGGCCATGACTCACACTCAATCAGTATCTTTACGTACGTCAAACGACATGGGTAGCCAAATGGAACAAATAATAGAGTTCGTCAAAGAAAATGCTTTATTGTACGATACTCGTCATCCAATGTACAAGGATTCACGTGCTAAGGATACACAGTGGAAGGAATTGGCTGTTACAATGAACAGAGGCAGCAAGTAGAAAAATCTGCATATATTTATGTAGGGTTAAGTATACAGTAACTGTGGACATTCTTAGTGTAGGCTATGCACCAGTTCCGTTCACTAACACGAATTCCAGGGGCTAGTTGAAGTACGCAACAAACCGCTCTCTAATGGCGTAGCTAACGTTTGCCGCCCTTGGGAGACGTAAAGGCTGGATAGGGAACATTTCTCCTTCCAATGGCTCCACTCGTAGCAGTTCTTCCCTGTACTTTTCATCACAGTTTTTGAGACTTAGAAAATTATGAAGCAAACACGCTGCTGATACAATGTGTTTTATATTTCCTTCTTTCAGTTCTATGGGTCTCAAAAAAATCCTCCACTTCATGGCAAGAATAGGCCTCCGACAATTGGTATATTGTTTAGTGATATCTTCTTGCCCGATGGCTCTCAGGATTTCATCAAACCTGTCAATTTTCATCCTGAAATATATGTAGAACCGTTTTTCGTCCTTCAGGAGTTGAGGTATCAATGTATAAAACTCCCCCAGTTCCTCTCTTGACAAGTTTATATCATGAACCCAAGCGATTCGTCTCTTTCGCCTACAATAGGAACACACATAGCAACCACTTATACGTACTTGATTAGAGACTCGTTATGGAATTGTAAATATTTGTACATATATGTGACATACTGAATATGTGGAGGAAAAGAACTACGCAGATTTAGTGTTCAGTAAAATACTTACCGGGATTCACCTTCGTCTTCATCAGGAGCGACAGCTAAAAGCAAAACTCCTTCCTCCAAAGACGGATCCATGACTATTTACCGCTGCGATACCGAGCGGTCTACCGAGTGCGCTCGGTAGACCGAAATACCGAGGCGATATACCGACTGCGATAATATCGCGTTCCTCGGAGTACCGCGCCAGTGTGCGGACCTCCATTTACCGCAATGTAATTAGATATCGTCCCGTACCGTACCGAGCTGAGTATCGCGTCTGTGTGTGGGAGCCTTAAGGCTCTCTTCACCAAATACGATTAAGTTAGTAAAATCTATGACAATATGTGGAACGGCGTATGTAAAAGCACGAGTATATAAGAAATAAATTCAATTTCTCTTTTGATGGAAGTCTTGGAGGAAAGAAACGAGTTGGGACACCTAGTCATAAACATAAACATAATATTGTGACATGTCTGCTGAAAGCCGGTATATCAGAAACAGGTGGCCGTTACCAGAGAACAGCTCTGTAACAGCTGTTCAGCAAAGGAAGCAGAGGAAGGTGATGGGATCCGTTACTAGGGAGCGGACAGTGGAAACAGAAAGATTCGTGCGTGCCATAGTGAAGTGTAAAGCCCGTGAATTAGCGATACCGCTATAATTAATTGTATAGTTTCGAGTTTCAAGAGTTCAGTAAATCCAATTACTAATCCAACCCTCGTCTCTAGTCACTAAACGCGTGACAATATTAAAATTAACCTTAAAGAGAGAGTGTTTGGGTGTGTGAACTAAATTCAACTGGTTAAAGAAGGGTTCCCTTGACAAGCTCTTATGAACATGCTGATAAATCTTCGAGTTCCGTTAATTAATTAACTTCATGTAGCCGTATGTTCCTTGGGAAGTCAACATTCGCTAAGCAACTAAAGAATTTCCTAACATTTTATAGAAACTGAAAGTTCATTACCGTGTCCACGAGATCCCGCCATTGGTCCTCGTCCTGAGTCGAATCCAGCCGATACCACCCCAATTATAGTTCTCTAAGATCCATCTTGCCGGTCACGGTAGCCGAGCGGTCTAAGGACTGTCTTCGCTCGCTTGGAAACCGGGATCGTGGTTTCGAATCCCACTCAGGGCATGGATGTTTAGTTTGTGTGTGTGTACAGGTAGAGGCCTTGCGACGAGCTGATCACCCGCCCAAGGAGTCCTACCGAATGTGTAAGATCTAGAAAAACCGAAGTGAACGGAGAAGTTCATGGAGGTAGGCCTAGGCCCACTGGGGCTGTAGTGTCAAGGGAAAAAAAATCCATCTTAATACTATACTCCAAAGTACTAAATATTAAAATATCTTTACTAACTCAGCTACTGTGAGCTTCTAAACGAGGATTCTGCTTCAGGGAATTAGTTATTATAGTATGTATATACATCTACTCTACAGCCCTTTGTTGGACCTTGGCCTCTTTCCAGTCGGTAGGACTCCTTGGCCGGGGGATCAGCCCGTCGCAAGGCCGATACCTACACACAGAATAAATGCGCACATACATCGTGCATCAAGTAAGAATCGAACCCACGACCCCAGTGTTTAAGCAGGCTAAGACAGTTCATGCCTTAGACCACGTGGCCACTGTGATGAGCGAAGAACTGTACTCATTTTGAGTGAACGTTGTTACAGATATGGTTACTTCGGCCACAACAAATTGAAAAGGAGGTATAGTATGAATGGCTGTCTTCCTGTGAAAAGGAAATGAAACAAAATGCCCTGAGCTTTTTTTCTTTTTTGTTTCCATACCGCGGTTCGTCAATTCTTTGGCCTTTTCTCCCTCCCCCCCTTCTCAAAGCTCCGATTCCCTGCGGATGTTGTGTGTTTGTTCAGTTAACCGCGGTTTCTTTAGAGAGTGGAAAACGCGGGAGTGTGGCGGTTTCTGCACGTCCCCCCCCCAACAGCTGTTCCCGGATCGTTACATAGTAAATTACTCCGCAGTTTCAATTAATTATGTCCGTCTGTTATTTTTTAACAAGGATTGGCTGAACCTTGTTACATAACAAAACTACAAGCGAAATTTAAATCCTGGATTACATTTTAAGGTGTTTGTCTCGTATTTATTTTGAGTTTTATTTTCAGCCATATTACTTTAGTAGATCATCGTTCAGTTTTATTCTGATGACCATATTCACTCCGCTCATGTAATTTTCCTTATAAAATAAATACCATAAAATTATACCGTTGTGTTGCTGTATAACTTCAGCTTCTGTATGTGGATGAAGACTTCACTGGATCCAAGAGAGATTAAGTAATAGGAGAATGGAGAAAACTACACAATGTTAAGCTTCATACTTTGCACTCTTCAGAGTGATTAAATCAAGGTGGATTAAATAGTAAAAGCATTTAATAGGCGTGAAAGAGATAAGAACATCCGTATAATATTTGTACAAATTTTGAAAATAAGATACCTCTTGGATAACT